ACCGCGGCCCACAGCACCGCTCCCTCGCTCGCTCGCTCGCTCCACTGGGTCTGGCTGGACAGCAGGCAAACCGTTCGTGCAGTTTGGCTGTGAACCCGGAGGCCTTCCCTAGCGTCTTCTCCCTGGAGGAGGAAAAAAAAAAATTTGCATCGACTGTGCTTTAAATGCTCCTTTAAATTGGGGAAATGTCAGTGACGTCATCATTAACAAAAACTTTCCTTCATTGGACACAGCCGCTCGCGCTTCCCCTCCCCTCCTCCCTGGGTAGCGGTTGCAGCCCTTGGAGAAGCCTTGCGTCCGTCGGATCCGCTCTCTGCCCGCTGAGCTCCAGCACCTCGCACAAGTGCAGCGCGTTTTCTTTTTTCATTTATGGGCTGGAGATGGATCGATGTGAGGGGAGCCGGAGGGAAACTTGTCAGCTCCCGGCAGAGCTGGAACTGCTTCGGCCACAGCACAAGGGCCCAGGGACAGTCATGCATGACCCTGTCGCCTGCCTGGCCTGAGATTTGTAAATGACAGTGGGTCGTCGAGAGCCGGGGATAAAAATTGTAAAGATAGTCCATTGGGTGGGGCAGGTGATGTGTCCAGGAAGAGGTGGACAGTGTCGCCCAGATCTTCACAGGCCTTGGCAGCTTCAGGGAAACCTCTAGCTCTCCTTCCTTCTCGTCGCCGCCCCCCAGCCCCCAGGATGTATCAGGGAACAGCCTGCCCCGAAAAAGGGGGTGTCAGCCTCTCTGTGTCTGTTTTTAAGTTCGCACATTTGTTTCTTTATTTGTTAATCCGCAGCCGAGGGTATTTTTCTGTTGGTTTTTAGAGAGAGTAGAAGGGAAGGGAGGGGAGATGGGTTGCCTCCCCCACCCACCCCGACCAGGGCTAGGGGTTGAGTCTGTAACCTTGACTGGAATCAAACCCGGGACCCTTCAGTCCGCAGGCTGATGCTCTATCCACTGACCCACACCAGCCCGCGCTTCTCTGGGGCTTTTGTGTCCTCACCACAGTAGCTGTGGGTCCCACCAGCGTCCAAGGCCAATTCAACACCCAAAGAGGGCAGAGAGCGAGCAGGGCCTGCAGTGCTCCCTACAGCACCCCCGGTTCTGGGGGACCCCTCCCCCCACTCAATGTGGGGAGCGGGCCATCGTGATGGTGCCTGAGGGTGTTCCATTAGTGCCGACCATCATGGAAACGAAAGGAAGCAGGTCCCAAGGCGGTCTGAACGCCTGCTCCAGCCTGTCATTTCCCAGGGATGCTCCATGAGGGACAAGAATATTGACATTTTTGTATTTAATAATGAATGACCACTCCCCGTTGGTTAAAATGCACTTGCCTTGCCCGGCCACTGTGGCTCAGTGGTTGAGCATCAGCCTACGAACCAGGAGGTCACAATTCAATCCCCGGTCAGGACACATGCCCGGGTTGGGGGCTCGATCCCCAGTGTGGGGCGTGCAGGAGGCAGCCAGTTGATCCATGATTCTCTCTCGTCATTGATGTTTCTATCTCTCTCTCCCTCTCCCTTTCTCTCTGAAATCAATAAAAATATATAAAAGCAATAATGAAATATGCATGCCTTCCATCACCAGAGTAGCACGGCGGTCTGTAAGGAATGCAAAACCACCTGCCACGCAGAAGTTAGAGTCTGGTCAGGGACGCGCAACTCCCGACTCCCGGACGGGCGTGAGGGGGCAGGAAAGCTGTGGTTTACCACAGGCCCGTGGCATTCCGGGTGCCCATGGGTAGAAGCTGTTGCTTTTTTAAAATATATACATATTTTTATGGTACATGCCCTTGACCAGAATTGAACCCGGGACCCTTCAGACCACAGGCCGACGCTCTATCCACTGAGCCACACCAGCCAGGGCGAAGCCATTGCTTTATGGAGTCTTGCCGGGTCTGGCTCTCAACTGGATTCTGTGTGGCAGGTGTCCCCTGAGGGAGGGACTACTGAGGCCCTGAGCCCTGGTGGGGGCGGCACTGGAGTTGGGGAGCCCCTGAACCCTGTGTTCGCCTCGTGGAGGAGGGGGAGGCACCCCCTCTGAGGCAGGCAGGGTGTCCATGTGCCTCCCTCTTGAAGGCGCCACATGCATCTGCCATGGCCAGGCTGGGGAGGCGGGGCCTGGTAGCAGAACTGTCTCCAATGTGTGTCTTTTTGGTGACTTTGCCCTGTTGAGTGTTTGTTGTTTGTTTGTTTTTAATCCTCACCCGAGGATATTTTCCCATTGATTTTTAGGGAGAGGGGAAGAGAGGGGGAAAGACAGAGAGAGACATCGATGTGAGAGAGACACATCGGTTGGTTGCCTCCTGCACAGGCCCCCGACCAGGGCCCAGACTGGGGAGGAGCCTGCAGCCGAGGTACGTGCCCTTGACTGGAATCGAACCCAGGACCCTTTGGCCTGCAGGCCGTCGGTCTATTTACTGAGCCAAACCGGCTAGGGCTACCCTGTTGTTTACAGTCGCTTTAAAATGTGGGCTCTTAAGTCACGGGTGAGGTTTTCCTGCGATTGAAGTGTTTGTTCTCCATGAAGGAAATTGGTTGTTAAGGCTCTGGGCTGTGAACCCTTTAGAAATGGAGTCTGGATGCAGGTTCGGCCCCTGGCCCCGGTCAGGGCACATGTGGGGGTGGCAGATAGAGTGTCTCTCACATCGATGTTTCTCTCTCTCTCCCCGCCCCTCCCTCCCTTCCACTCTCTCTTTAAAAAAATAAAATAAAAGGAAAGAAAGCGAGTCTGTGACACCCGTCTGGCCGCAGACCCCGTTATGTTCACCTGTGGTGGGTGGAGATCTCACCACGATGCTCCTGGTCCACTCCCTGTGCTGCTTGTGACAGTAAATACAGATGCGGTCTTTCCA